CTGCACCTTGTATTCCTCCTTCACAGACACCTTATATGCCACTGGGAAGGATCGCTTGAACAAGAAAATCTGAGCATCTGCAGCCTGGATTTTAAGCTAATTTCCGCTCTTATTTCTCTTACCGTGAGTGCAGAGCACAAGGAGCCAGAGAAACTGAGTCTGGGAGATCATCTTGGCAGATGTGGAGCTCAGAAGCAGAAACAGTTAATGAGACATGTTTATATCTGTTCTCAAGAGCAGGGGACTGTCACTGGAGTGGAAATATGCAAAGCAGCAGCTCTGTGTAAATATCCCTTCCCTTTGCAGCCGTAGGATAACACTGAATAGACTTTATGCCCATGAGACCCATCCCGTTGGTGGAGCATAAAGAAAAGGATAAAAGCTGGGGTGGGGAAGAAACAAAAAGAGAGATCCCCACCCCGTCCATTCCTCAGGATCAGACACCTTTTCATTCCAGGGAAAGCTCTAAAGCCTGGGTTCTCTGATTTTTAAAACTCTTTTTAACATAGCTTAAACTCCTGCACATGGCAAAATTGAACACAGGCTCAAAATGTGAGTGTGTGCAGGGTTTCCAGGGGGATGCTCCTGCAGCCATCTTGTGTTTGTTCTGTCAATCAAGAGTGTTAGAGGCTCCTTAGAATTCCAGGTCACAGCGCAACAGCTAACAAGGCCTCAGCAGAGACAATTGGAAAACACCAGGATGTCTGCCCCCCTCCTCCCGCCCCGTCCTCTTTGATGGAGGATTCCCTAGCACATCTAGGCTATACATTTGCTTGCGGCCCCTGCCCTCCGTTCTCAGCAGTGCCCAGAGGGGTCTCTTACTGTGCAGTAGCAGAGTCTAGCCCTGCATGTATCAGTCTAGAGACAGCAGTGAGCTGAACTGCAACAGCCACCTTGGCCCCGTGCTTCTCTCCAGAATTATAAAAAAGGAGGTTGTGCTGATTTTGCTGCCACCAGAGAATATCGTACCTACTGCTCCGGCACAAGCATAGTATTTGTAAAGTGCTTTTACATTCCCAGGTGGATTTTGCTAAATTGATGCAGAGGATTCGTATCGGTCTAGAAACCCATCCCCAGCCACCGGGGGGAGATTCGTACTGAATGTCCTCAAGCCACCAGACTATATTATTGTAAATAGCTGAACCAACTTTGCAGATGATAGCAACATTATTTCCCGGAGACACTGCCAAAGTTCTGGGATCTGCGTCATGACAATATGTTCACTCAAACCTGAGTGTTTTGCCCTGCACAGAAGGCTGTAAGGTGGGCAAAAGTTGTGATTTTTGTGTTATTTATAAAGCCCCAGCTGGTGAAGTCATGTGATTAGGTGAGAATTTATTTTAATTGTAAGAAAAAGTCATTTTTTAGCCCACATGGTTATGCAGAATTTTTTTTAAAGTGAAACACTGAAGGCAAATAAAAAGAAGCCAGATCTGTTGTTTGTAACAGAAATTTCATGTTATTTCTTTACACTGGCTTGTTGGGAGTCAGCAACACAACAAGTGGCTATGAAAATCTGCTTATTGTTTTCACAGCTCAATGCAGTGCAGGCTTTTGCCCAGGCAGTGGGGAGAGGGCTCTGGGAGAACATTTTCCTGTGTCTTTCCATGGAAACTGAGTCTGGGAGATCATCTTGGCAGCTGTGGAGCTCAGAAGCACAAACAATTGAAGTGACATGTTTATATCTGCTGCAGACAGCAGGGGACAGTCACGGGGAAGGGGGGGGTGTGAAAATATGCAAAGCAGCAGCTCTGTGTAAATGTCCCTTCCCTCTGCAGACCCAGGATCACATTGAATAGACTTTATACCAGGGGTGAGGAAGCTCAGGCCTGGGGCTGGATTTGGCCTCCCGCTTGCGAGGATCATTCTCTTGAGGCTCTGAGCCCCCCCTCTCTAGCATTGGGGAACCCATGCTTGCGCTCCAGTCCCACTGCTGCCCCACCAAAAATCTACCAGCTGGGCGCCTGTAGGCTCTGGTGTGGGAGGGGAATATGGGGAGTGTCTTTCTCTTGTCAAAGCCATTGAGGGTTCTCTTCTTTCCTTCTCCCTTGTGTGGTGTGCAGCCCTCAGATGATTTTTCTGTGGATCAGTGCCCCCTGACCCAAACAAGGTTCCCCACCAGTGAGACCCATCCTGTGGGTGGAGCATAAAGAAAAGGATAAAAGCTGGAGGTGGGAACTAACAAAAAGAGAGCCCTGCCCCTCCTGTTTTGTTTTCCTCTGGATCAGACACCTTTTCATTTCAGGGAAAGCTCTTTTTAACAGAAATGAAAGTCCTAAACATGACAACATTGAACACAGGCTCAGAATGTGAGTGTAGTGAGGTTCTCCAAGGGGTCGTCCTGTGTTTGGCATTGTGTGGATGAGGCATGACAGGGCCTCCTTAGAATTGCAGGTCACAGCACAAGAGTTGCTGAGGCTTCATCATAGATAGAGAAATTGAATCCCCGAGGTATCTGCCAGCTCCGTCCTCTCCGTTGGAGGGTTCCCTAGCACCCCTGGGCTATGCTTTTCCTTTCAGCCACCCTTTCCATTCCTAGCAGCCCCCTTAGTCGTGTCTCACTATGCACTAGCAGAGTCTAGCCCTGTGCGTATCTGTTGAGACACAGATCAGTGAGCTGGATTGTAACAGCCGCATTGGCCTTGTGCTTCAAGCACCAATTTCTTCTTTTTCATCGGTTGTGTCTAGTAGTAGCTGTTGATAAGACTCTGTTTTGGAGAAGATGCTTTAATGAGCAAAGTGACAGAGCAGCCCAGGGAGGTTTGTGGGGAGAAGACTCACAGTGAGAGGGAGGTGGTAGCCTGGCTGCCAACATTGTCTTCTGCTTCAGCACTGTTGATCGTGAGGGTGAAGTGAAATCAGTTCTCTACTCGCGGCCACTGAAATGGCTGTAGCCTTAGAGGAGACACTGCCAACAATCCCCAGTCTGAAGGAATGAATACCTTAGAATTAAATAGTGATAGAGATGTAGCCGTGTTAGTCTGGTGTAGCTGAAACAAAATACAGGACTATGTAGAACTTTAAAGACTAACAAGAGGGTTTATTAGGTGATGAGCTTTCGTGGGCCAGACCCACTTCCTCAGATCAAATAGTGGAAGAAAATTGTCACAGTTTTCTTCCACTATTTGATCTGAGGAAGTGGGTCTGGCCCACGAAAGCTCATCATCTAATAAACCCTCTTGTTAGTCTTTAAAGTGCTACATAGTCCTATATTTTCTTTTAGAATTAAATGACTGTCGAGATCTGCAATGGAGTGAATGGAAATATTTCTGCATACATCGTTGCATAGCTGATTCTGAATAGAAATTACAGATTTATAATGTACCAGGAAATGGGGGAGGGAGTGAATATAGAGGCTCTGTTCATAGTGCTTCTAGCAACAATGATTTTGGTCAGATTTTCTTTTGGGTTTGCTCTGGCTGCAGAGGGAGAATGCCATGGAAAACTGGTCTTGTGAGGAATAAACTTTCCTAGGAGCCAGACTTTCCTCTAACTGCTACTGAAGGTTTCCCTCATCTTCCTCTGGAGCAGCAGGGCCTGGCCACTACTGTAGAGTGATGTTGGATTTGATGGACTACAGCTCCTGCTGCCCCAGCACCCACAACCATATGACTGTTCCTGTGTTGGCATAAATGTGACCCAGAATTCATCCTCAGTGCCTCCTGAATGCCAAGGAACAGCTATTCAGTAGCATGTGGGAGGTGCTGAAATAGAGAGGGATGGGGCCAGACAATGGTTGGGGGAGGGGTTGGAAAAGGTGGGTGAAGGCTGGAGCAGGGGCGGGAAGAGGTAGGGCAGAGGAGGGGCCAGGATGGACAGACTGGAGTGGAGGGTGGTTCAAAATGGAGGGGGCAGATGTATTGGGGAAGGAATGGAGTAGTGGTGAGAAAAGGTGGGGTGATGATGGGACCTGGGGCTGAGAAGGGGATTTGAGGGTCCATTAAACATTTTAAATCAGAATGAGAATCCTCCAGTTGCTAATATCTGAGGACATGGGTTAGACTCTTGCAGTGTCCCTCGGGGGCGTTAGGAAGCTGGAGTACAGCTCTCTGCTCAGTGCAAAGTATTCCCATTGCAACCTGTGTGGCAAGGTCCTTGCTCAGGCCCCTCCCCCTGGGACGACTTCTTCGGTCACAAATCAAGTGGAGATTCCTCTTGTGTAACCCACCTGTGCCTTTTTTGTCCACACCAATTTCCCCACCTTCTCTTTATAGAGCTTTGTTCCAGCAGCAAACTCAGCCGGCCTCTCCAGCTGTCTGGGGAGCACAGTCCCCCATTCTCCCACTCTTCCCCTTCCACTTCGCCTTTGCTGCCTTTTCTAACCCTCTGGCTAATGAGGCCCACGATTGTTTCCCATTCGTCCCTCAGGCAAGGGACTGCTCAACTGCCCTTTGTAGCCAGGCTGTAGTGGCAGGGCTCTGGCTTAACCAGCAGCCTGTCACAGTGGCTGATAGTAGGAAACTGGATGCAGCCAGTAAGAGCAGATCCCTGTTAGTGGTAGGGGAGCAATGGTAGGGGACGTAAAAGTGCTGGACCACACAGTGGAAGGGAGCATGTGAATACGGTTGCCAGGTGTCTGGTTTTGAACCGGACAATCCAGTACTTGAGCTTTCTGTTCAGGAAACAAATTGAGAAAATATAAGTGAGAAAGGGAGACGCGGAGCAGCTTATCTCACCCCGGAGGACATGGGCGGCGGAACCGCGGCGCGTCTGGGCAGTCCTGCCGCCCGCGTCCTCTGGGGCGAGAAAAGCCCCGTTCGTAAGTACGGATCTGACATAAGTCGGATCCGCGTAACTCGGGGACAAGATGTAGTGTAGATTGTGACGTAATATCAAGTGTACGGAGCAAAGAGGGAATAGACCCAAGTCTGACACACACCCAGCCTGTGGGCAGCCTTGCAGAAGCACGGGCATCAGGAAGCTACAGAGGAAGCAGCTGAACGAGTGTGAGTGACAGTCCAAAACTGTACAGAGCAGGGAGGTTTTTGTGCTGGTCTGTATCACTGTGTGAGAGGGAAGCTAGCATGCTGCTGACAGTAATAATCTCCAGAATCCTCTGCTTCAACCCTGCTGATGGTGAATGTGAAATCAGTGCCAGACCCACTGCCGCTGAACCGGTCTGGGATCCCAGAGGGACGGGTGGATGCACCATAGATAAATAGCTTAGGCGCTTGTCCTGATTTCTGTTTGTACCAGACCAGGTTCGTATAAGTGTTGGAACTGGCTTTGCAGTGGATAGTGACTGTGTCTCCTGGAGACACTGCCAGGGCCTCTGGTGTCTGTGTCAACACAATCTGCCCAATGGAGTCTGGATGGGAGAGAAAAATTAAAAGAAAAACAAATACACAGTGACTCAAACCTTATAAATTTCAACTAATTAGAAAACTGCACCTCAAATTCCTTCTTCCCTAACACTGTGAATGCCTCTTACAATCATTGCTTGATTGGGAATCTGCAAGCTAGTATATTTAAGGTAATTTCCCCTGTTATTTCTCTTACCCTGAATGCAGAGCACAAGGAGCCAGAGAAACTGAGTCTGGGAGATCATCTTGGCAGATGTGGCACGCAGAAGCACAAACGGTTAAAGTGACATGTTTATATCTGCTCTTAACAACAGGGGACTGTCACTGGGGTGGAAATATGCAAAGCAGCAGCCCTGTGTAAATGTCGATTCCCTCTGCAGACCCAGGGTCACATTGAATAGATTGAAGTGCTTTGAGTCCCATCCTGTGAGTGGAAAATAAAGAAAAGGATACAAGCTGGGGGTGGAGAGCAATAGAAAGCAAGCATTAACCCACCTGGTTTGGGTTACTCTGGATCCGACACCTTTTCATTTCATGGAAAACTCCCTAGCCTTTCGCCTGCCAGATTGTCCATTGTATTTTTAGCACAAATTAGTCTCCTGCACAAGACAACATTGAACACAGGCTCAGAATGTGAGAGTAGGGAGGTTCTCAAAGGGGATGCTCCTGCAGACATTTTGTGTTTGGTGTTGTGTTGACCAAGAGTGTCAGGGCCTCCTTAGAATGCCAGGTTACAGCTCAACAGTTTACAAGGCCTCAGCAGAGAGAAATGGAAAACCCCAGTGAGTTTGCCCATTCAGTCTTCTTTGCTGGAGGGTTCTCGAGTATACCTGGGCTATTGTTTAACTTGGAGCCACCCTCTCTATTCCCAGCTGCCCTCTGAGGGATCACTCAGTCTGGCAGAGTCTAGCTCTGTGCGTATCAGTCTAAACACAGCAGTGAGCTGGATTGCAACAGCCTCATTGGCCCTGTGCTTCATGCACCAATTTCTTCTTTTCCATCGGTAGTGTCAAATGTGCTGCACTGTCACTGAACCAAAAAAAAGAACCAAGAGTTAAGCTCTGTGCTCTGAATCGTTGGACCCTCCTCCCTCTAGTGGTGCTCAGAGAGGCAGGCAAAAGCCTTTAGTTCCTTCCTATGACTGACATGGTCATTGAGGCTGCCTTGGGAGTAGCAGCTGTTGAGAAGATTCTGTGTCAGAGAAGGTGTTGTAATGAGCAAAGTGACAGAGCAGCCCAGGGAGGTTTGTGGTAAGAAGACCGACAGTGAGAGGAAACCCTGGCTGCCAACAGTATCTTCAGTTTCAGCACTGTTGATCATGAGAGTGAAGTTGAATCAGATCTCTGACCACTGCCACTGACATAGCTGTAGCTTTAGGTGAGACACTGCTAAGAATCCCCAATCTGAAGGAATGAATACCTTAGAATTAAATGACTACCTAGAGATTCACAATGGAGTGAATGGGAATATTTCTGATTGCATCTTTGCCTGTCTGATTCTAAATATAAATTACAGCCTGATAATCCATGAGGTGGCAGGGTAGGGAGGGATTATAGAGGCTGTCTTCATAGTACTTCCTGCAAGAATGATTTTGGTCAGATTTTCCCTTGGTTTTCTCTGGCTGCAGAGGGAGAATGCCATGGAGAGCTGGTCATGTGCAGAATAAACTTTCCTAGGAGCCAAGCTTTCATATAACTGCCACTGAATGGTTTTTGTATCTTCCTCTCAGGCAGCAGAGACTGGCCACAGCTGGAGAGTGATGTTGGATTTGATGGACCAGCACTCAGATACAATGATGGCTGTGTTTCTCCTCCTACTGCCCCAGCACGCACAGCCCCATGACTGAACCTGTGCTGGCATAAGTGTGACACAGAATTCATCATGGGTGCACCGACAGGTGGGCTCAGGTCTTTTTCCCATGGTGATTTGAAGGCCTACGGTGCTAGTGAGGAGTTCTGGGATCCATTTTGCTAGAGTCTCATATCTTTTGAGGGTTTCTTCTGGGACAGGGGAGCTGCATCAGTGACTGTGTTTTGCTAGATAAGAAGCTGAATCAAGGAAGAGGTTTCAGTCGACCTAGTTTGGAGGAGGCTAGTGTTTCTCAAAGTGGGGTGCACAGGATCCTCCTTCTTCTTCCCCAGGCCTCCTGCATGCCAAGGAACAGCTGCTATTCAGTAGGATGTGGGAGGTGCTGGAATAGAGAGGGAAAAATGGGGCCAGACAGTGGTTGGGGGAGGGGTTGGAAAAGGCAGGTGAAGGCTGGAGCAGGGGCATTCGATGAAAAGGTGGAGTGGGGATGGGAAGAAGTGGGGTTGGAAAGGGGCTTTGCTGAAGCAGTGCAGTGGGGGTTGGAAATGGTGGTGTGGGGATGGGACCTGGGGCTGAGAGGTCTTGGGGTTCCATTAATTTTAAATCAAAATGGGAATCCTCCAGTTGCTAATATCTGAGGACATGGGTTAGACTCTTGCAGTGTCCCTCGGGGGCGTTAGGAAGCTGGAGTACAGCTCTCTGCTCAGTGCAAAGTATTCCCATTGCAACCTGTGTGGCAAGGTCCTTGCTCAGGCCCCTCCCCCTGGGACGACTTCTTCGGTTGCAAATCAAGTGGAGATTCCTCTTGTGTAACCCACCCGTGACTTTTGTCCACACCAATTTCCCCACCTTCTCTTTATAGAGCTTTGTTCCAGCAGCAAA